GCTGAGTAGAACATTTCTCGCTGTCGGTGGTTGGGATCGCGTGCTCTCCCCCAAGGAGGCTCAGCCCTGCGTCTCCTGCTGCTGCGGGAGGGCTCTGGCTCAGAGCTGCGCTCGGAGATGCGCGCCCTGTCTCTCTTGCGGGTCTCGTTGCAGACTGTAAAGGGTCACTAAGCAGTCACTTACTGCGCAATGCCTTGAGATTAGGGTCTTACTATGAGGCAAGAGGGCTGCAGAATGCAGCTGCAGCCCTGGCTCCTGTATATACTCATTTTTATTTGTTTGTTTACAGTGAGCTTGTAACGTAAAATGCGTCAGTACATGTAACATAAAATGCAAAACAGGGCTGGAATCCGGGTTCCTTCTCTCAGATGACCACGTTATCTCCTCACTCTTCCAGCCACAGCTTCCCCTGCCACCACAGTCAGCTCTGAAGCAAAGGAGCAAACCTACTTCGGCTGTTGAGAAAGCACAGATTTGCTCTTTTCCCTCAGCGCAAAGTCCCGGGGCCGAGCCCCGAGCAACGCTCAGGCCGAGCGGTCAGCGCTAACGCGTCCCACGAACGCCGCCTCCTGAGGGAACGCGCCCCCCGTTGCCATGGCACCGCCGCGGCCCCGCCCCCTCGGCGCACCTCCCCCCACCTCCCTGCGGCGGCGCAGCACGTGCCGGGCAGCGTGCGCGGCGGTCAGGTGGGAGCGCGCGTGATGGCGGTCAGTGCCTCGCGCTGTGGCCAGCCGCCGGGCTGAGGCGGATCCCGCGCCCTGGCGGGGCATGGACGCGGTGTTTCCTCACGAGCCGTCGGCCTTGCCGCTGGAAGCCGCGATCCAAGCCTGCAGCCGTTTTGGGCAGGGAGCGTGGACCGGGATCACTGCCCTGGGACGGCAGCCCCGCAGCCAGCACGAAAGGCTGCAGCCCAATCTTTACCTCAGAGCCGTGCCAAGGGCTGTGCAGATGATCGGCTGCTGCTGTGTAGAGATGCTTTGCAAGCAGCGCTATGTGTAAGCAAGGCTCTGTGCTGCCTGCTGCCAGCAGTGGGGCTGAAGCCTTGGGAACTATGTTGGTGAATGCAGGGAGCGTGGAGTCCGCTTCAGCATCCATCAGCCCGGGCTCCTTAGCGCAGCTGGGGCTCTTAACGCACTCGGGGAGCCCTATTCTGCTGAGTAAGAGGGTGCCACATTTACATAGCCATTTTCCTGATGCTGTTCTTCAGAAATGGCTCAGTTGTGAGACTGCTGTGACCGCAAGCCTTTCTGTTTTGGTATCTGGTTCTCCGGCTTTGGTCTGGATAGAGATGTATCACACAGACCTGGCTCACCTCAGCACTGAGCGGGGCACAGCTTGGAGGCACTTCCTCACCTCAGCACTGAGCGGGATGAGCGGGGGCACAGCTTGGAGGCGCTTCCCTGGGCTGCAGTCGCACAGACAGCAACGCCTGGCAGATGCCTGTACCTGGGGATCTTCTGGTACCAGAGGATGGAGGAACCGAGCTCACAGAGCTCTCAGACAACATTTGTGCCAGTTAGTGTTGTGTCCTTGCTGGTAATTGAGCATAAACTGCGATAAACTCAGTGGGGAAGGGAATGTGGATGTGTTTCTATTGAGGAACAAATCCTCATTTTCTTATTTGACCCCAGAAGATTTTGGCTGAGGTAGAAGACTGGTGAAAATCAGTGCATGTGCTTGTAGCCTGCACCAGGATCAACAGGGACAGGGAAACTGAGCTTTGAAAATACATAATAGGAAAGAAAACAACAACAGAAAGTCTCTACGGATGCTGGAAAAAGCTGTCCCCTGGCCCTTACAGAGCTGCCTGAAACCATGGTCCCAGCTTCCTGGAAAGCACGAGGCCATGGCCTGCTGCCCGTGCCATGCATGACCTGCCTCCTCCAGGCGCTGCTAGGCAGGAGGAGGCATGCTGGTGCCCCAGGAGCAGGCAGGCATCCATGTGTTCAGGGAGGCAGAGAGGACTATGCTGCTTGACCTGGGCCTGGGTGATGGAGGCAGTGGCAAGGTTTGTGTTCAAGGGAGGTGTGCAACCTGGAGACCTGTGACTACATAAGGGACTCAGAGACAAGTGGCAGCAGCAGCTCGCTCTGGCCTGGGTTTCTCTGCAACTTGCACAGCTGCTGCTAGCGGCAGGTGAGCCACTGGTTTCTCTGAGCTGTTCTGCACCATAGCCAGCAACAGTGAAGAGAGTCAGGCTTTCTTGAGTGAAGCTAGCTCTAAAAATTACAAGTGTTATTTTACAGAGAGGAAATTAGGCATTTCTGCTTCTTGTTTTCTTTAAGGTCATGTTTTAAGTACATTTCTGCAGCTAACAGGCAGGAAACTTCTCAAGTGAAGGCAAAGATCACATGACTTCAGGAGCTGATGTTCGAAGAGGAAAGGAAACACATTGTGGGACCCACAGACTATAAATTTGCCTGTGCTGAAACACTGCAGTGCATGCAGTCCCCAGGCTTGCTGAGTATTGAACGTAGTCAGTCTGCCCCAACTAGCAGTAAAAATTAAACCAAGCCAAGAAACAAAAAAGCCCCACAACTTAGACTTAGGACCTACTTCAAAACCAATTACGCTCAAGAAACAGACTCACGCTGACTTAATTGGTAGGTCAGGCCTTTCTTAAACAGAGTGAATAATCAGTTTGAGTTCTGTAACTGTAATCTTTCCAAACATAAAACTTTCATTGCCTCAAGTGGGAGTTATATGATATTACCTTCTGCTGCCTTAACAATCTTTATTTGGCACACTGTGGTGGAACCTTCCATGCTGTCATAATGTACTGGGTAAGTAAGACCTGTTTTCAAATTTTATTGCTTAAGAAAATACATTTACCCCTCTATGTTGTGTCTCCTGGTTTGTGAGAAATACAGTATCTATCCTAGGGTATGCCATATATACAGCACCCAGTCCTGCACTCCTAGCACCCAGGAAGCACAGGTAAGAGTTGCACCATGTATTATAGAGTTACAGAAAGTAGATAGGAATAACCAGCACTGATATTTGCATGCAAGTGAATATATATTTAAGCCTGCTGGGCTGTTGTCTGTTGCTTGTATGTATCTATTTAACTTTGAGAAAATGTAACACAGAGTTTGGCTTAGGCTCCAAAAGGATCTGAAGAAGCCTGGAATTGAATGAAAACCTGAAGAGCTGACTCTTTGGATCCCTTCTGGCATTTGCCTCTTGCCTCCAGCAGCAGTGGGTTATCAGCCCCAATTACAAGCCTCTTTTAAATCTGTTTGTGAGGCATTGCTATTATCTGAACATTATTGTCATGTTTTGCCTTTATGTTTTATGTAATAAATTAATAGACTCCATTAATGCTGTAACTCGGCATGAAATCATTTGGCACGGTTGATTCAAAGCCTAATAAAAATAAGCCATCCTGCTATTGTACACAGTAAACACTGAAATTGGTTAAACACCATAAGGATCTTAGTTTATAGCCCAATGAAATCTAAGCTGATCCGTATTCCCAAGAGCTGGAAATGTGACGAAGACACAGAGCCTGGTCCTCACTCGGGTTTCACACCTCCCAAGTTGTGTAGGAGGGGTAGTGATGGGCTTTTTTCAGAAGTGTTCATGGTTCTGCCATTCTGGCCTTGTCATAAATTGGCAGGAAGGACTTCATGTACAGTAAGGCCAATTCCCTCTCTGGTGAGAGGCTACACGAGCACGGTCAGTCCAATGTAGCTGTTTAGGTATGCAGGTCAAAGTAAAATAGCTGGTGAGCTGCAGAGCAGAAGGGCTGCACCCAGCTCCCTTTCATCCTCATGACAGCCCCATGCACAGAACAACGGCATCCATGGCCAGCAGCAGTTTTTTACATTGCCTTCGATACACTTTGCTTTCAGCAAACTCATGTCGACAGGCACAGGGCTGTGAAGTAGCAGCCCTGAGACTGAATGGGAAAAATCACTAATTGGGATCTTTCTATGGTATCTTTTTCTAGTCGAAATTAACGTTACTATAAAGTGCAAAGAGACACACACCTACTTCTTAACAATTGTGTTTGAACAGTTTCAGAGAACAACTTATTTTTCATCCAATGTATACGTCCTCTTGTATCCCAAAGGACCACTGGCGTCAGCACGAGTCCCGGACTTTGCTGTGATGTCTGAGCTCCAACTTCATTCTGTCGGTGCCGAGGTACAGGGCACTGGTGCTGAGGAACCAGAAGAGGGAGCAAGAAGCACTCTTTTTCTCTCTTACATAAATGCAGGCTACTGTTGGAGGGCTTCCTTAATTTTATTTCCCTGGAACAGGAAGAATTTTTGAAGAAAAGCTGGTGAGCGGCTCAGATATTAAACCTGCGGAGGTCTTTAGGGTGGTGTATTCCCATGCTGTGCATTGTCTGCCTGCTCCCACTACTCTGCTCCCACTGCCCCAGAGATTCGGCTTCTCTAGCTGATTCCCAGCTGGGGCGTCCATCATTGCTCTGGAGTTCAGGTACTCACAGAACTGACCGTCACGTCGATCATCACGTTTGCTCATGGTGAACAAAGACAGCATAAACACAAAGCAGCAGCAACGCAAAGGATTCATTTTAAAAGACAGAAGTAGTATTTTGCAGGAAGAAGAAGGAAAAGGTCAGCATCAGGAAGAAGCACATCTGTTCCACGTGCGCTTTACGCACTGCTTTGTGGAACACGCACCTCTTACACCGGAATTGGCCAATGTTTCTTAAAGGAAACCGAGCGCATTGAAACCCAGCTTCAAAACGTAACGAGGCGTGCAGCGATCGCCGTCAGCTGCAGCATCACACCTTGGGATGCTCCGTGCACCTATTGTTATTACCTATTATCCTAAGGTTCTTAATTAGTAGACAACCCCATTTTGCGTATTAAAGTTTTTATTCCTTAGTAAGAATTTTTTTTTTTAATCACAAAATAGTGTGGAAATATTTAGATAATAGAATTCACGGAGTGCTGGAAAATACGGAATATAAAGATCGGTCTCTAATATATCACATACTAATCTGTTCTAAACCAGCTGGTTTCTTGCAGACAGGATTTATTTTCTTTTAATAATTTAAGACAGCGTAAGCTTGTATCAAGCGTAAGCATCGTAACAAAAGTGCAACTTTTTCAGCAAATCCTCCCAAAAGATATTTAACTCAAAATATCATTAACACGTATTTTCTCCCTACAAAAATAGCATGTCAGACATCATTAATTGGATGTATTAACAACTATGTACATACAGCCACTCGGTAGGCCGCTAAGGTCTGGAACGTTGTTTAAACACAGCGTTTGAGGCGAACAGCAGCAACAGCAGCAGCAATGCACCGAAGCGCCGGGCCGAGCCGGGTACGCGCTCGCGCCGAGTCAGACTGTTGTGTCTCACCTCTTACATAACATTCAAGTGAGATTTCTCACAGTGCTACCTTGGCAACAAACTAAAAATATCCAGGCAAGGTCTCGGTTTAAGCCTTATTATAAAAGCTTTATCTGTGTGATTATCTGGCGTCTGGTTTGGCTCCAGAAAGGGAAATCGCGGTGCTCGGGAGTGGGATGAGGGGAGAGCCCGGCCGGGAAAGTTGCCCCAAAGGTCTCGGCGTCCGATTGCAAAGCGGGAGGGGGGGGTTTCCTCCGGTTTGTGTCAGTCAGAATTTATGCTCAAACGAGCTCGGGCTGACGAGCCGCTCTCCGCTTTCTTAGGGAAGGGAGGGAGAGAGAGAGGGGTTTTCTTTCCGTAGTTCAGTGCAGAAACATTCATCTTATACAGCACGGTTCGGGGGGAAATCTCTGGGGAACATACTGAATTAAATAAAGACGGGTAAGCACAGACGCACCCGCCGCAGCTGTATACCTCAGCCGAAAACAGAACAGCCGAACGCGGGGTTACATAACGGCACTGCCCTCCTTCCCCGCACGCCCGAAGCCGGCGGCGCCCCGGGGTGCCCAAGGCACTGCGGCCGCCCATAAAGTGCTGGCACAGGTGCGGGGCTCCGCCGCCCCTCGGCCCCAGCCTGAGCCCGCGCGGCGCGGTGCGAGCATCTCGGCGGGACCCAGGGACACTACAAACCCATCACAATAAGGTGCGACATTTAAGTTACCTTAGAGAGAGAGAGAAAAAAAAAAAAAGTATCCTTACTATTTCTCTTCCTTTTCTTCTTCTTTTTCTTTTTTTTTTTTCCTTAACATATGTATGCACTTATAAAGCCAAACATTAAAAAAATACTGAGTAGCAAATTTCGTCCGGGACGGTCCTCTGTGGGGCAGCGGCGCGGGGGGCTCCGCGGACCCCTCCGGCACCTCCTCCCGCCCGCCCTCCGCGCTCACGGCCCCTCGGTGCCGGGCTCTTCGGCGGTCGCGGGCTCCGCTTCCTCGCCGGGCTCGGCGGCGGGCACCGCGGCGGCGGCGGCGGCGGCGAAGGGGGGCGGCAGGTGGGGCGCCGGGGACAGCCCGGCCGCCTTTTCGGCGGGGCCGAGCACGGACGACAGGCAGGGGAAGGAGGCGGCGGCCGCAGCGGCTGCGGCGGCGGCGGCGGCCGCCTGCGCCGGGATGCCGGGGTAGAGCAGCGGGATGGGGGCGGCGGGGTAGAGGTACTTCTCCAGGCCGCCCTTATCCAGGAAGGGCTGCACGTAGGCGGCGGCGGCCGAGGGGGAGATGAAGTAGAAGGGCAGGCAAAAGGGGGCCGCCGGCTGTCCGAAGGGCGCCGCGCCGCCGCCCGCGCCCAGCGCCATCAGCGAGCTCAGCAGCGCGGCGTCGGCGCCGCGGGCAGCGCCGGGCAGGGCGGCGCCGGGCGGGGGGCTGCCGCCCCGCTCCAGCCTCGGCCGCTTGGGCGCGGGCGGCGCCTCGTCCCCCGCCGGCTCCTGCTTGACGGGCAGCGCGGGGAGCGGCCCGACCGGCCCTGCGCCGCGCTCCGGCCGCGCCTCGGCCTCTCCGCCGTAGCCGCTGTCCGTGTCCGTGTCGGTCTCGGCGCCCGGCTCGGCGGCGTGAGTCCGCTGGATGACGGGCACGCAGTGCGCCTGGCCCTCCGGCTTGCGGGCCGGCGCGCGGAGGGGGGCGGGCGGGGAGGAAGAGGAGGAGGGTCCCTTGGCGAGCGGGCCCGGCGGCGGCGAGAGGAGCCGCGGGCCGGGCAGGAACTGCGAGGAGACGGCGTGCAGGTGGCCGAGGAGCTGGGCGCAGCGCTGCTCGCGGGGGGTCCAGCTCTCGGAGCGGGACAGGAACTGCAGCACCTCCTTAGCGCACGTCTGAAAGCCCGAGTGGAAAGCGTCCAGGTCGGCCTGCACCGGAGACTTGACGGAGCGCTCCCCTGCGGGAAAGCCCCCCGGGGGGGGGACAGCGTTCGCCCGCCGCCGCCGCGCGCTGCCCCGCTCTGCCCGCGCCCGCCCCCGGGCCCGCGTACCGCTCTGCAGCGCGACGATCTTCTGGTGCTGCTGCTCCGTCAGCGCCGTCAGCGCCTTCAGGTGCTTCAGCGTCAGCTCCAGCACCACCGCCTTCTCCAGGTGCCCCAGCGTCTGCAAGGCAGGCGGCGGGCGCTCGGCCTCCTCCCGGCTGCACCACCGGGAGCCGAGGCCCCCCCGGGCTTACCGTGAGCTTGAGGTGCTCGGGCAGCAGGTCCTTCAGCTGCGCGATGCACTCGTTGATCCTGTCCCGCCGCTTCTTCTCGATCAGCCGGTGCGGCAGTTTGTACGTCTCCTGGCACGGAGGCGCCCGGCGTCACGCACAGCCCCGGGCCCCGCACACCCCGCACCGCAGCGCGCCGCGCCGCGCCGGGGAAGTTCGGAGCGCGGTGCCGGAGCGCCGCAGCCCGCCCTTACCTTGCTCTCGTCCCTCTTCACGCCGCGCTTGGGCTTGCACATGTAGAGCGCCGGGTACTCCAGCCTGCGGAGAAGCGGAGCTGCAGCCCGGCCCGGAGCGCGGCCCGGCGCCCCCAGAACGGGCAGCGGAGCGGCGGAGCCGCCTCCCGCAGCGCTCTGCAGCGCTCCGCTCGGGAGAGCGGCGCGGGGCGCGGCGGGGACGCTTACCCTATGAAATCGCGGTGCTCCAGCAGCTGCCGCTCGGGCAGGCGGGAGATGCCCTCGTCCATGGCAGGCGGCGGGCGGCGTTCCCTCGCTGCGCTGGCCGGGATCCGCGGGATGCTGCGAGCGGGCTTCGGGGATCCGCGGGCGGAGCTGCGCACATGCAGCCTCCGGCCCCCTTTCCCGTGCAGTGGCGAAAGCGTGCGGCTGCTCGGCCCCCCCGCCCCCGCCGCTCCCCCTGCCCGCCTCGCTCCCGCGCACCCGCCCGCAGCACCGCCGCGCCTTGCACCCGCCGCGCCGCGCAGAGCTGCCCGCGGGGCACGCGCGCCGCCGGCCCGCCCCGCACCCGGCTCACGTGCGGAGCGCGCCGGGAGGGAGGGGGCGGGGAGGGGGGCGGGGCTTGCGGGGAGCCCTCGGCGGGCGGCGGGGCGGGGGGGTCCCCGGGCAGCCCTGCCACAGAGCGGCGTTCCCGTGCGGCTGCCGGCGTTGCCGCCGCTGTTGGATTTTAGCAGTGTGGGTTTTTTTTCGCTTTTATTCGCTTTTATTCGCTTAATGTTTTCTTTTTTTTCCCTTCTTCTTCCCTATTTCTTTTTAAATTTTTCTCTATTTTTATTTTTAAATTGACTTCGATCTCTGCGTCCTTTAATCTCCACTCTTATTTCCACTCTATAGGGCCGACCCCCGTCCCCGTAAGGCACAGCTGCTCCTCTCTGGAGAGGTGGGTAGGGAGGAAACCTCCGCCTCCCCCTGCCGGACGCTGCACGTCCCCGCACGGCCCCCCCTCCCTCTCCACCCCCCCGCTCACTGCCGCCGCAGGTGCCGCCGCGTGTGGTTGCGCCCCGCACGCAGCCCCGCACGTGCACGCAGCGCCGGCTCCGGGCGTCCGCCCCCCGCGGCTGCACCGCAGCTCTCTTCTCCTCCCCGCTCGGAGCGGCACAGGGCCGGCAACGTGCTCCTCTCTGGCCGGCCTGGGCTCTGCCCCGCAGCAGCCCCCAGGGAGACGGGAGACGGGACCCGCTCCGAAGGGAGCTGGGCGGGCAGCGGCTGACTGCAGGAGACAGCGCTGCCGTGCGCGGGGTGTGAGCGGCCGGGGAGGTTCGAGAGTCTCCCGCTGCCGGGCAGGGTGCGGATGGCACTGCGGGCACCTTCAGCCCCGTTAACCCGGTGACATTTTCACACTGTCAGCGCGACGGAACGGGGGGTGGCTAAAAATAAACTGGGGCTGCGTGCGCCGTGTTCCCATAGGTTATATTTGGGAATGCCCGAGGGAGAGGTTCGCGAGCTCCCGCTGGGCTGCTTGGAAAAGCAGTGCCAGCGAGGAACGGCAGCGGATGCGTGGGCTGCAGGGCTGCTTCCTTGGAAGGGAACGGAGGGGACTGGCGGCGCCCGGGCATCGCAGGCAGCGTTCAGCCGTGCCGTGTGGGATCGCTTGCCCCGAGGCAAGCACCCGTTTGGGCACTCGAGGTGGAGCTGCAGGAGAAGGTCTTCTCCTCCTGTCTGGAAAGCATCAAGAAAACCTCAGGTGAGCTCAAGATGGAGCTCAGCCCCGAGTGAAAGTCCGTGGAAAACTTTCAGGGAGCGCTGACTCAAGGGGAGCTGGAACTCTGAAAGAAAAGATAGCTGCCTCCAGCTGAGCCCTCCTGTGGGCGAAGGAACGGCTCTGCATGCTCTCTGCAACTCATGTGTGGGAGTGGGAAGGAGGAGGACGATTCTGGAGCACCTCCTCTGGTACAGCACCTGGAGCATCTCTGGAGCATCTTCGCCAGCTTCATCCCCTCTGGGACAACCTGCAAATCTTCAAATTGCAGAAACAATGTTCAGAGCGAGACGTTGCTTCCAAGGGGACAAATCCTACGTGTGGGATTTCTCTGAAACCCAGCAGGAACGGAAATCGAAAATGATCAAAAGATGCAAAACATGATCTGAGACAGCTGGAGGATTTGCACAAGGAGTTCGAGCAACATCTGGAAACTCATAAGAGAGGTTTATAAGAGGTCACCTGCAGGCAAGGATAAAAGGCTTCAGTGTCCAGGGAGTGCGGAATCCTCCTGGAAGGTTCCCATTTTAAAATGGCAAGACGGATCAAAGAGGTGATCAGTAGCATGACCATTGCGGACAAAAATGCTTTTCAGAAAATAAGAAGCACAAGAAAAGCTTTGGCCAACTTCTGAGCTAGGTCAAACCACAGCAAAGAGTTAAGACACTGAAAAATCACTCAGAAAAGGAAATCAAAGGCTTGTTGGTCACCACAGGAAAAAACAGCCTCCTGCTGGAAACAAGAGTTGGCCAGAACACCACCTAACACCGAGCGTTCACCACCATTTGCAGTCTGCGAAGAAGGAATCAGTCTGCCTGTCCCTGCTGGGTCTGTGAGAATGCCATCTTTTGGAGAATAATTTGGGGGGTTTGTTCAGTGCAGTCCATAACCACAGCGTGAGGGAAGGCCTCTGAGGTGCGGTGCCTAGGGGCCAGCTTGATTGCTCCAGCTCTTATGGAATTGCATGCTCGCCTTCAGGGAAGAAAAAGAAGAAAGAGATTGAATTGTCTAGACTGGGTGTGTGACACGGAATCAGACATGAAATTAGAGGGCTAATCAACCAAGTGCTACAAAATGGGGAGAAAAGAGGTTCTAGCTGAACCAGGAGAGGATCTGCATCACTTTGCTTGAGTAACAAGGTAGTAATGAAGACTGCCACTGTACGTTGGATGTCGACTTACTCATAGATTTTCTATTACGGGATAAGCAGACTGAGACCACAGGGTAAAAAAATGACATGAGAACATATAAAACCTGAGGTGAGTTGGAAGGTCTGGCTGCCCTGAAGCCTGGTAGGAGAAGCCTGGGGAGCAGGACATGCATGTAATGAAAGCTCTCCAGCTCAGCGGCTTGTGGTGCAGAAGCTTCCTGAGCCAGAAGTGAAATCTGTGTATAACGGGAAGCCAAAGACTCTGTGAGAGGCAGCAGCACTTGACAAGGTGCTTATTCTGGTTGCAGCAGAGCATGGGGCCAGTGAGATGGTCAGTCCTGCCAGCTCAGCCCTGTGGCTCGCACAATCAATTCAGTGCCGCACACATACCTGATGTTTGTAAAATAAGGGAGAGAGCAACCATGCAAACACACAGCTGAATTATGAGGCAGACGTAAACCTGATGTGGGAAAGTGGCAGAGAGTGAAGGCACGATGTGCAGCAGTGGATGAAGGCCTCCAACCGGCTGCAGAAATGGTGCTGAGTCCAGCCTAGGAGAGCGGAAATCTGGATCCATTATTGGACGAAACTTAAAAAAAAAGGGAGAAGCTGATCACAGAGGCACTCCAAGGCCATGTGGAAAGGATGATATTAGCAGAAATGTCCCAAACCCCACCAAACTAGGCAGAGTAGAGTGACAATTGGGCTGACGGTGGTTGAGCCGGGTAGCCCGAGGTTGGTGGTGGTGACAGGAGAGCATGGGTGTATCCAGACCTGATCTGTCTGGTCAGTTTGGTAAACAGGCACTGGAGCAAAAAGTCAGGTGTGAGGGTGGGCGGGCTGCTGCTGCCTACCCACTTCAGGGATACATCATAATGTGTGGTGGGGGGGTGCCCCACTGCGCCGTAAGCACCAGGAACTGGGCCTTGCACCATCAATTTGGAAATTCTCCTTAGAGTTGTGTCTTGACTGGGCAGGTAGCTGGTCTGTGAAAAGCTGTCCCGCTTCCTGGAACAGAACAATTAAAGGTGGTCACAGCCCAGGGCTGCTTCCAGCCCGACTGTGAGAGATCTGAAGCCATGAGACCCCCGTGGGTCAGATCCTGTGCATGTGAAATATAAATGATCCCATCTGCCTGCTGGGTGCTTTGCAGGAGCAGCAACAAGGAACAAGTGAAACAGCCAACCCTGAATTCACTGTGGAGAAGCTGTCTGTGAATGATGAGCTCTTGGATGCTGCTGCTGGGTTCAGTTTGGGCATTCCCAAAGCAGCAGAAAGCTGTGTATTGGCAGGCAGAAGCGGAGCTGGAGGTCAGGGAAAATTGCTTCCTCAGCACAGCCTGATCAGCTGGTGATTCAGTGATGTTGGGGGCTTACATAAAGCGCCAGCTTGGCTGCTCTGATGAAGGGATGGCACAGCATGCCATCAGGAGGCCTTGAGTGGCCTCAGACTTTCGGGAGGCCTGCTGCGCTTGGGCTAATTATGGGTGCACACTGAGACCTTTGAACGAGAAGTGGTAAGTGCAGTTACACATGGCTGGAGATAAGCTCAAGGCTGGCAGCCTGTAGCTGGTCCCAAAGGAAAGGGAGCTGTTCCAAAAGACCGCCAGTTACCTCTGTTGCACAGCTGGTGATGGGGAATTTCCACTGAAACAAACAAAAGCCCTGAGACTTTGTGGAGCTGGCCCACTCCCCTGCCACTCACGGAGGTGTGGGTTGGTAGGACTCTGCTCACGTTATGGAAGGTTTGTTTGTAGATTTGTTAGCATTGCAAAATGCTTGCACAGGTAAGGTGACAGAGGGAGAGCATTTCAGTGGCCAGCACAATGAGTTTTAGCTGTTTCAACCGGTGCGCTTCTTGGTTCAGTTTGCATGTAAGTTGTATTAGTGGTTGCACTGGAGGAACATTATAGTGAGGGCAGACTATGCATCCCAAGTACAACATGTTCAGGCATTAAGAAAAATGGCAGCTTTGCAGCCACACACTGGACACGTCTAGGCATCTAGTGGTGATGCTTACAGACAGGAGCTCTGGGGCTAAATGCAAGCCGTGTCATGGGTGGGAAATGGAAGAGGTGATTCTTCAAGAGGAAGGATGCAGAGTAGGAGATGCTTGTTTCTTCTCTTACAGCCAGACAGTGCTGGAAGATGCTTCCCAGAAAGCATCTCAGTAGCTGGAAAGTGAGCTGGGAAACCCAATTGCCCTCAAACAAGGTACACCTCTGGAGTACAACAACGTCTATCTTCCAAGCACAAAGGGAAATGCACTCTCTAATCCTGGTGAGTCAGTTTGGGTCAGTTTCTGCCTAGAAATGACAGCGCATGCAAACAACCTGTGGAGAACCTTGTTAAGTGATGCCCGGAGTGGGAAAATAATATTTTTTATTATTTCAAAATTGACTGACATTCTGGACTGTACTGGGAGTCCATACATTTCCAAAAAAATCAAAACCTTAGCTAAGCTAAGGGAAAGATCCTATCGATAAGGTCAAGGAAGGCTGTAGAAAATACATGCAGGAG